GCTTTTAAAAATTCTGCAATTTTTTGAAGACCACAGAATCCATAATCAAATATTCAAAGTTAAGTGAAGACATCAGTGATAGCTTGCATCATTCGAGTCTAAATACTCCTTCTTCCTTATAAAATATTTTATACATTCTATTAATAATTTTACCAAGTTACCTTATGATATTATTTCTTTATTCTATCCCTTTTGAAAATTCTGCAATTTTTTAAAGACCACAGAATTCATAATCTAATCTTCATGATCAAATGAGAACCTCGGTGGTGTCGCGTACAATTGAGTTAGGGCTTAATAAATTGATTTCCTTTTCCCTGGAAACTTTCCAATTTCCCCTGATTTATCTCTAATCCGAGCTGGACGAGAAACGATCGTGGGATACCCCGAGACGCAATTCAACAAAGAGGTAGCGTCTTCGAAGGAAGTCTCTCTATAGAACTGGCATCCCTGACCCAGGACAGCCTGCTGCGCCCTCGGGAATCCTGTAAAGCCTGCATGGATCCACGCGACCGCTTCGTCCAATGGTAGACGAGGACGGAGCTACGATACCAAGCACGTTGATATTAACCCCTCCGTTTCTGAGGGGGTTGAGCGGCTGATTTATTCATTGTATCCGTAATCCGTCGATCGTTGTGGTGGTAGTAGATCCGGAGGATAACGCTGATGGTTGTAACGTATGAGGGTGGATTGCGGTGGTATTTTTTGACCAAAAAGACGAGTTCCTGTGGTTTGGAGGACTCGTGAGAAACTTAAAATAGATTTCTGTCTTTGAATCCAGACTTTTGTTCTGTAGAAAACTTAGACGAGGTTTTTCTCTCGGTCGAATGGAAGTCCAGTTCTTTAGATTTCTGATAACAATTACTTCTCAGCGCCTCGCCTCCGAAAGGTTATTTCCGATCATTGCCCACAGGGATAATAATAAAGAACACCTGGGTGAAGATTGCTTTCGGATTGCAAAAACGAGCCAGCGTGACAGGTGTAGGCCGAGCCGGAATCATTAATAACGTAGATAATTTGTTGGAAACAATCCTGGATGAGCGCGCAGGATAATCGCCAGCCGATCGATGTGGGCAGAACGATTCTGCGGTGTCATTCGTTCCTCCACTCCATTTAGCGTCAGACTATTCTCTCTACCTCCACTTCCATCATCCACTTACTTCAAAATCTAACTCACTACAGCGTAATAAATCCAACTCGCTAAACAATTTCTAAACCATAACACGTAATTGTTAAACGTTCGTTCGCGTTCGCAGCAGCTAAAATAACGTTCGTCGTCGACGAATGTTCAGACCATTTCGAACACGCTCATACATACAGTTTGTCACAATTATTCCCAGCTTGGGTTCGGTTTATTCCGTGCACAATACAACCCCGCTTCACATGCCAAAGTCGAATACCCCTCATGGTGGAAGAGTAACGGGCGACAGAGGAACGCGCGTGACGGTGCATGTCGAGACATCGACAGTCGTTGCTATTGTCCAGCCTACGACAGAGGCTCTTCAGGATATCTACCCGCAGGACCTCACGCCGTGATCGAAAGCTTGTCAACCAGCTTGTCGGAGGACGGAGCGTGACCGTGTCCCCTTAAGTAGACCGTACAGTAGCCATTGTAAACGTTCGCTGGACACTGGACGCTCCATCTTGGAATTAAATACTTCCAGTTAGACTAAATAACTACATTTTCGATTGAATGCATCACTAATAAACAAGCTTAGCCCTTTCAAACCAGGCGTTCACAATTGAGGACACAAAATTTAAAACGATATCTATTTACCATCGTTTAGAGCAAATATCTCATTTGTTTCCAGTTTTGCCATACTAATTTCAGTCTAAATTAACCCTAAAAATTGGATTACATTCTGAAAGGTATAACACAAGTTTCCACCGTTCGGTTTCATCCTCGGAAACCTCCCAGGGCTTCTACCCTCCCACCTAAAAATACGTTTAGCCGAAAACTAAATGCTAAAAGCTGGCTTGTGTTGACAGAAATATCTCCACATATTCCCGGTATCAAATGCTGGAAACTTCGGGCGTAAGTCGCGAGCCGAATCACGAGTGGCCAGGGCTCTTTACGCAAACATGACCGCGCCGCGAGCACGAAGACGTCGCGTTGCGTTAAGTTGAACGGCGTTCCGTGCACGTACGACTTTTGTCGTGAAAGGCAAGGACGATGGAGTTGTTTTAGGATCTCGAAACGCCAGAGGTAAGTACACCGCCGGCAAGGAAAGTGGTCGACGATGGGCCCTGGAAAAGGACGAAAGTTTGTTTTTATTGGACTACCGACGGGGATCTTTATCCACGCGCGATTCCTTTGACGGATGGTTGTTCTGCGCTCGCTAGAAAAATAATTCCGAGTCCCCCCAGCCTCGCGACGAACGAAGTCAAGCACTGCTTTGCCGTCCGAGCACGTCCAGTTGTCGACGGTCTCTGAGAAAATAATCGTGCTTTCCAGTATTTACGTGTATCCCAGGGACAGGATACGTCGTGTGTACCCTTCATGGAAATCCTGGGAACCTCCTACCGTTCATTTGGAAGTTTATTTTTCCATGAGAAGTCGAAGATGAGCTTCTTGTCCCGGGTCGCTGCTCCTCGTCTCCCGATCAACGAGTTCCGACGTCTCGAGTACCGTGTCCTCCCGGCAAAGTTTGTTGTATTTGCTGCGCCAGCAGCCACCGCCCTTTAACGTCGCCAGATCTGAATGTTTCGTACAGGGTTGAAGAAGATATTTCTCACGCGACTCGGGTTACTCGAGATTTGATTAGCGCGCGTGCATTCAAAAATACAAATATGGTCTGCATTTGTATTGTATTTATCTGCATATATATGTATATAGAAAAGCATACATCCAAATTCAGTTCCATTCATGAAAGGATTATTTCAGTAATTCAGACCTGATTAAAAAATTCCGTAAACCTAATGTTTTAATATTACTGACGATTATTTTTTGGCTATTCTCTCTTATAAATATCATGTACCATTAGATGAAAGGTACACTATGTTAATAAGCTACTATATTTATGCATTCTACAATATTTATTTGAATTTATATTGCAAAGAGAATTCTAAAAAGCAATGTACATTATTTCACCGCATTTTTCAATTTTATATATTACGGAGTTAATCGATTTGTGCAATGAACTCAATTGTTAATTGCACTCCATATTCCCCAACACTGCTTATATTTAATACCCCAAAGAATACGGTATTCTCTTACCAGAATGAAGAACGAGAATGAATTTCATCCACGTAGTTGCGTGAAGAGAAGAGAATCCTAGCCCAGGCTCCTCCGGTTCCCTTGACGTCTACTTTACACCTGGTCGTAGCCTCGGCCAGTCCTTTTATCGCAATTTAACCCCATTGAAGTCCCGCTTTAAGGTCGCTAGTTTCGGCTGGCAGGACGATCCGCGAAACAATTTGCCCGGTTGTCCCATCGGCTGTCCAACAAGCCCGACAACGCCCGGGACGCTGGCCAGACAACTAAAGGCAAAAACTCGTGGGGTCGCTTCCACAATGGGTGTGGCCAGTGTTGGTCCAACTTCTGGGCAACTGCGTGAATCTAATTGTCCACGGTCGAAGCTGGAAGGCCTCTTTGCGATCGCGAGCCGCGTGATGTCTTCTTTGACGCGTGGTGCACAATAACCGACCGAGGAAGAGCAGAATGAGACCGCGACGGGGGAATTGGAAACGCGTGCCCGACGTTCGTGAAACATTCCACGTTTGCTGGTCGGGGGCGGATTCTCCGGCCACCCTCAACGACGGAACCCCCTGGCGAATTTAAAGCCTCGGACGGGCGCAGAATTTTCTCCAGGCACTTTGTAACGCGGTTGTTGCGGATTGGACGACGGCCAAGCGGAGAGACTGACGGAGTTTGGACGCAGGCCCATTTTTACCTCGGTTCTGTAAATTAATTATTTGTTATTTAGTTTGGATATGCGAGGGGAGTGGAACGGTTATTTTTGAGTTTTTTGTGAAGTTATTTAGGAAGTTGATACCTTGGTTTGGAGGTCCCA